GCTCTGCTGCTTGTAATGCACCAAAGATATTTGTGTCAAGACCACAACCGTGCATTTAGTTGCGAATTGCCAGCAGAAATAGAGCACATTTGACCGCGACTACATTAAGCCGACTATTTTTATCCCTGATTTATATTATTTCATCCATTAAGCCGATTATTTTTTATCCCTGATTTATATTATTTCCTACATTATACCAACTTTTTCCTGCAGCATTGGGTGTTGAGCAGCACCATCCCATCCCTGTTGATGCCAGGACGTCTGCGAGACTGGGCTCTCTCCATAGACTCTCCATTATAAGTGTTTAAAGGCACTGCGACTCCTTGAAGTAATTTCTATTTGAAATTTATTGTATTCCATCAACTCGCTTATTTGATTGCGTCAGCGCTCGAGCAACGAGAAATTCGGCCGATGATACTGCATACGTCATGTTATAGCCCTTGACTTGATCTAGTGTGTACGCCTGAGCTAGATGAAGCTACACTTATTTTTCAAGTTGATGAAACGGTTTAGCTTAACAATAAAGAATAGTGTTTCGGTCTTCTACGGACAAATTCCTAAGTTATTTCGTTTTGTGTCATTTAATTTGACCTTTTCAGGTGCTACCGTTTCGTCAAGTCGTAATGCTGTTCTCCTCAGGGCGTAAATACTTGACACTAAAGCGCTAAGCGACATTTGTGAGAGCTAACGGCCAAGGTTAAGTATAGCAGTTAATTACGTGTAGTCTCCTTGATCGAAGCTACAATTGCCTTTATCTCGGTGTTTTTCAGTAGCTGTGATTATGTGAGTACTTGCGGTGGAGCTTAGCTGCTTTGTGTTGGTGACGGTTGGTGCTTCGTAAGGAAGCTGATCTCGATCAAAGTTCCCATTAGGTTTTGCCGCAAGACAAGAGCGCCATGACACTTACGAGACAAGTCTTCTTTTTTAAAGGAGTAAAATCTTGGGATTAACTTTGGAAAAACGCTCGATCCCTGCAGAATCAATTACGGTAATGAAAGTTCATAGGCAAGTCTCTAAATTGTCACGATCGTAGTAGAAAAAATTTAATATAATTAATACTTAACCTTATGCCTTAGCCTTATGATGAGTTCGGGACTTCCTAGTCCCCAGTCACGCTGATGCGCCGCCTTCGTCGTCCTCCGTCTCCGAGTCGTCGTCGGATGTAACGTTGGACGTGTTCCGTCTATTTGCCCTCCTTTGGGCCAGCTGCTCAACTGTAGATGATAACTTGAAATTAAAAGCACTGTATAGTATGGAATTGGGAACCGTTAAATTGATGAGCGCGAGGGCTACCACGAGCTGCCGCGCTGAGAGCGGTCATCAGATGGCGCGTGCCTGGGGCGAGATGCGGCGCTTGCCTCCGTGGGGCAGTGACAGCAGCAGCTGTGCTGTGATTGCAGCAGCAGCTGTGCAGTGACTGCAGCAGCTGTGCAGTGACTGCAGCAACTGTGCAGTGACTACAGCAGCTGTAAGCAGCAGTGAAGGCCTCAATTTTCCCAGTAAATTAGTAGTGGGAGCTCAATACTTCATTAGAATGATTGTTGTAAGCACATCGGCTCGGTGAAAGATTTATCGGATCGGGTCTCGTGACGGGGAAGTTGCTGCGGCAGTCTTTACTGGATCCACTGTTGCAGATGCATAACGTCCAAATACAAAGAAAATACAGATTTTCTCAGTTAACACCAGTATATTTAGTAACGATTCTATATTGATTAAAGAATTTCTAAGATTATACTGGTCATTTAATTAACGCTGGCGTGAAAACTCGCGACGAGCGCGGGCGTGTAAACTCGTGGGTGCTTATTTACATCAGTTTTGCTTTCATGACTTGTTTTATAAGACGCTATTCAACATCGCCGAACGCAAACTCGAGGCATCAATACAGTAAGTGGATCTCATCCACCTCTTCTCTTCTGATCCAAAAGCGCTGCAGTGAGTCTTTGTTGTTATCAGAAGCATACGAGTGCAAGCAAAGAACAGGTAGCGTGACATGCATGCGGTAACTTTGCTAATTGTGTTATTCTCATCTATTTCAATTATGAACTCAGGCCGCTGCATCTTGACTGCGGCAATTAATGAATTCATACTTGCATGTATAAACTCATACTTGCATTTTTGTTCGAGTCTGGCGGCGACGCTTATTACATTCAACTACTATTACATGTGCCTCGAACATACTATTAAACTTTTGTATATTTTACCTTATAACTGTCATATGGTACGTAACGAGTTGATGTTCAACGTACGTCTCGTGCAGCTGTATTTCCTCGTATATTTAGTCTTCAAGTAGATGTGCACCATCATGCATTGAGCCTTCCTGTAGCTGTGCACCAACATGCATTTAGCCCTCGTGTAGCTGTGCACCAACATGCATTTAGTCCTCGTGTAGCTGTGCACCAAGATGCATTTAGCCCTCGTGTAGCTGTGCACCAAGATGCATTTATGTGTGTTGCCATTTTTGTGACAGCGTGGGATCCTGACGGCATGCCAAGGTTGCGACTCAGGCACTCCACGCCGCCCTTAATTCTTCGCGCCCGTTCTCTGGAACACTTCTTACTATCACCCAAGAGTATAGTGTTATTAGCAGACATAGAGACTAAGTGGAGAGTGGCACTGCCGGGCTCCTGGCAACTTAATTTTTTGATAGATTGTATGGAAATAGCATTGATGAGCGTATAACTGGAAATGTACTAGTGATTTGCAGCAGCCTGCGCCATTTTACATAATCATTCTTCTCGAAAATTAATTATCTCGTTATAAGACAAATTTGCTGGGAATGCAAGAAATCGTCTTCGTCTTGACTCTGACTTTACCCGTGCTTTTGATCGTCTTTTTGTCTAGTTGCTAATCGTCTGCATGCTTTAACTGTCTTGTCGGCTTTTCGGCACAATGCTCGTGTTCTGTCATGCCAATGATCGGCTTCTCGACACACTTTTGTCTTGTCATGCTCTTAATAGCCTCTCATGCTTCTGCAAGCCGCACTCCTCGTCACGATCAAACCTTCATCAAGGTTGATGTCATGTGCACCGCAAGGTGTGACATGTGCACCGTGTGCGCCGAAACAACGGTTCAGCAATGGGTTATAAGATGTTAATCGCGTGCGCCGAACCAACGGTTCAGCAATGGGTTGTAAGATGTTAGTTACGTGCGCCGAACCAGCGGTTCATAGTGGGTGCTGCGCCGAACCAACGGTTCAGCAATGGGTTGTAAGATGTTAGTCGCGTGCGCCGAACCAGCGGTTCACTAGTGGGTTGTAAGATGTGCACCAGCTGCGCCGAACTAACGGTTCAGTGGTTGGTTATGAGATGTGCATCGACTGCGCCTATATTAATGATCCTTGCGTCCTGCTCTGCTAGCTCCGCGCGCCTGCAATTCTTGTCGGCAATGTCGCGGCTGATGTCGCTGTAATTTCATCATGATCGTGGATGTGAGAATTAAAAATATGTACAAGTGTTAATACTTGATCATGTACAAGTGTTTACTCTTATTCGAACCCGTCAGAGCTGTCACTCAGGTTATCACTTGCTATAAATCCGTTTTTTTGTGTGATTCTTTCCTTGAATTAATTCAGTGAAAGAACACGTGTGTGTAAGAGTAACCAACCTTCCAAGCTGTTGCTGTTTAAGATTACGAGTATGGGAACTGAACGAAACTCTTAGTTCATAATTAATTTACCTGATGTTTTCACTAAAGTTATTATAAGGAATATAATTTGAGTACAGGTGACGCCCAAACGCAAGCAAGGAAAACTATGCATCACATACCATCAATGCTTTGAACACGGCCTGCATATTCAGAGCAGACTATATTTTCTAGCCAATTGTCACTGGCGACAGAAATCTTTTGTATTTTTTTCATCCCCTTGACAACTTTTGTCTCGATATATTGTTTTTTACTTGAATTTACCTATTTTTCCGTACTTGTAACGAGGCTGGAGATGGTCGGCCCCAGTGTGTATGTGGACGATGTTATAGTGAAAGTGCTTGCCACGAAGCCGTGGGAACTGGAGGCGTTCCTAAGCAACTGTGAAGTGATGCCGTCATATTTAGTGGTTCTAGGACACATTATAGAAACGTGTGATTATTCAGCTGGCCATTGTGATCATCTTTCGTATATTTCCGGTAAGGAACCTCATTCACGTCCATCAAAATAATCATGATCTGTTATGATGTAATTTGTGCATGCGTCAGATAGTAATCACCTGACAATATATTTCACAAATCCTATCTCTCGCACAAGCGCTGCTTAGTTAACAGTTGAACTAACAGTCATATTGACATTTGTAGAAACTAAGATCTTTCTGGCGATAAAAAAAAAACATTGCCATTGCCGCATGATCTGCTTTGGTAGCATATTCAGGCTAAAAGTCTTTTATTCGTACGTTTAAGAAAAGGAAATGAATTGTGATCGCCCATTAGATAGGGAGGGCATGTAGGCAGGTACTACCATGCAGGGTTGCGTCTTACCAGATGAGATTATCTCGAAATCAGCACTCGTCAGCGCCTTCTCTTGGTTGCGTTAAGAGTATGAGCAACATCAAGCATAACTTGTTTCGTGTGTAGGTTCAGTAAATACATGCGAATATTCACTATAGGTTTAAGTTGCATAGGAATAGGAATATATGTTGCAGTGAACATCTTTAATATTCTTTCATCGCTCCCAGTGTCAGTATAGCTGCTTGTGGCTATAAAATATTATTTTGTTGGAATTGAGGACCACCGCTTAGTTTTTTTATTAATCAAATTGCACGTTTGCACATTACAATAACACTCTAATGTGAATGCGTGCAAGCCGCGACTATTTGTATGCAATTGTTTTTTTCAGTACAAATGGAACTCGCAGTGTACATCACACGCAGTGCATTTTCTTGCCTTCGATGATGCAACAACATGTCCGAGTAAAAGTATTTTCCCATTTCATTATGACCGCAGTGCTCATTACCGTGTTTTCTTGTCTCGATCATGCAACATGTCTCAACTCCCCGATAATTTGGCCAGCAGTTCGGGTCGTAGCGTGGTGCGCGTGTCGGGTGACCCTAACGACGCCAAGAGTTCGACGAAGTACAGCGGCCGTACACCTGGTGTGTACTACCCCTCACCTCCCCCCCGGTCTGAACCCTCGCCTCTTCCTGTACACAAGTGAGTACAACTATGAATATGTTGCACTGTTGGAAAAATTGCCGTTAACGGTATTACCGGCGTTTCAGTGGCCGGTCGGCACGTGAAAAGAAACACCGTGTCGCTGTATTTATTCTAATTTAACACTAGAAATCCGTAAAACATATGAAAAAAATGGCGGAACAGTTAATTTTCACGGGGCGACCGGCCACTAGAACGCCAGTGGGACCTTTTTTTCTAACAGTGTGTGAGCTACGTTCATACTTGCTAAAGCAACCAACTTCATTCTTTTCTGAAGTGGGGCCGAATTCTACGAAATGCTTCTTGTGGTTGGATTTCAATACATGGGTTGCCAGGTTTTAATAACTCCGCTTCGCACCGTAATGACGATCACCTGACGAACGTGGCCAAGCGATCAGACATCGATTAACTATAAACTATATCACACCAGGCCATATCACTTTTGTCAAGGACGCCTTCCATGAAAGTGAATTTATAAACGCGAAAATAAATTTTTTTCGAAGTTATAATTCGTACGACTGGAATTGACCATAAGCCATTGAGAGGATGTCAAAAACATGACTTCTGTGACGGACCTTCTTGAATGATAAAGCTTTTCTATGATATATATGATGTCTAAACAGTTATAATTAGTATTGATTTCAGTCGCGGTTTTCTTATAATGTAATATAATGTAATAATATAATACAATATAGTATGATATAATATAACATAAGATAATAATTGGAGCAGGTGGGCGTGTGAAGCCATCACCGCCGTCAAGGCACCAGTAGTGCGAGCGACTACGTGGCTCCTGGAAACCATCCCACAGTATCTGCCTGAGTCTCTTCGTCCTGAACCTTCAGCTGGGGACAACAACGCTCCCAAGTCCCCACCACACAGCTCCCCACACCCCAGCAACAACAGCAAAACCGCCACAATGTCCGGTGGGGGCAAGAAAAGCAATGCCCCGCCAGCGCTGCATAAAGTCATCATGGTCGGCTCGGGAGGTGTCGGCAAGTCGGCGCTCACCTTGCAGTTTATGTATGACGAGGTGAGGATGCCTTTAATGCCTTGCACAGAGTTAAAAGTTGACGTGTTGCATAATATATTTACTTCCACAGAACTTTGTGGTTACCGTAATTTTGTGTGAACTTGCATAGTAGCGTATAATTTCTCCAAGAAATTTACGAGTATTTCTTAACTTCGGACGTTCTTCGTGTTTCCACTTAGCCCCTTAGACAGAGCAATGTCGGTCGATTTTATTGAAGTTTTTTGTTGCTGGTGCGGAGGGAGTTATTGAACCCAGTAAATGAGGAGATATTGTTTATTTCGCGTAACGCGATCGTCGCATTTTGAACATAGTCAGCCTCCTCCGACAGATATTTTTTTTATTTAAATTAAACCACCCTAACTATTTGAGACGAGAGGACCACATTAATTACGTTAGATTGCGTATTGACTGATCCTGTCTGAGGGTCAGCATATAACATAATTAGCATATGTTGCATGTTAGGGGGCAGATAATTTATAATTATAATAACATAAAAATAATGTATGCAACCCTCGATCGGTGGAACTTTAGGCAGCAAGTCATTGACCAGGCTTTGTGTATGCGTCAATATTGTGCGAACTGAAGCTTTATTCGCTTTATTTGGCGACTCGCGATATTTCTCGTTGCTTTTTACGCTCTGATTCTGCATGCGTATAGCTTCTAACGCATCGTCGGTCGCGTTGTCAGCGAGCGTCTCCAGAACTGTGCGACGAAAGCTGCCTTCACCGCAATGGAATTCTTGCTAAAGTAATGAGAAGTACCCGATTATAACACTCTCATTTATTTTAGCTTGAGCACTAAATTACAAACTCAAACAAATTTATTTCACTACCTGCTACTTCAGTTCATGTGGCATTACCTACTGCCAATCCTTTATCGTTGCTCACTGGGTTATATATGTAACGCGCAGCTGTTAACACGGCGATGACATCATAATTCCTACGGAAATTTCTCTGCAGTATTATTGGTATCCATAAATGGATCATCTCCGCTATTATATCCATTTTTGTATTGAGATCATCTCCTCACGATGAATGAGAAGTATTTATTCATCTAGATGATGAACCGACTTCAGCTTCATGTTAACACTTGAGTGCAGCGTCACTTGGCTAATTATAATGTAGCCTTCACCATGAATGGGAGAAGTTAGTTGGCAGTCACATAATGTAGCAGTCATATAATGTAGCAGTCATATAATGTAGCAGTCATATAATGAAGTCATATAATGAAGTCATATAATGAAGTCATATAATGTAGTCATATAACGAAGTCATATAATGTAGTCATATAATGCAGCCTTCACCATGAATGGAGTAAGTTCGTTAGCAGTCATAAACGTAATGTAGCAGTCATATAATGTATTCTTATAATGTAGTCGTATAATGTAGCAGTCATATAATGTATTCATATAATGTAGTCGTATAATGTAGCAGTCATATAATGTAGTCGTATAATTTAGCAGTCATTTAATGTAGTCTTATAATGTAGCAGTCATATTATGTAGTCGTATAATGTAGCAGTCATCTAGTGTAGTCATATTATGTAGTCATATAATGTAGCCTTCACCATGAATGGAGGAAGTTAGTTAGCAGTGATGCGCGTCACGCCCCAGAGCTCCTCTCATCTCCGTATCAGAGATACGCTCTCTTCTCGCGCAGTGAAAGTTTATTGGAGCGCCGCGTGGAGTGGCGAGGGGCTAGAGTTGCTGAGCCGCTGCCAAGGCGCCCACTGACTGACAATCTTGATAGACGTTTCAATATTCAAATGTAGTGCCTTCAGCTATTATAAATGAAAATTCAATATTCAAATGTAGTGCCTTCATCTATGATAAATGAAATCAATATTCAAATGTAGTGCCTTCATCAGTGGTAAATGAAAAGGATATCACTATGACAAAATGCGAACTGCTTACGTTCCGGTCTGCTTCAATCACTCAAATTAATCTGTGAATATAGGAGCACGTTTAGTTATACACGCTCATATTTTCTTTATATTTTAAAAATTAACCTTTTGCAGTGCTAGAAATTGGCTTGAGATGCTTTTGGCAGTGCAAAAATTAGGGGTATTCATGAAACTATCGTATATTCAAAATTAAACAAAATGCGATAAGCATTTATGTAATTTGGTTCTCATGTACACTATACGATAATATCGTACTGCTCGATAGCGCTTCAAATGTGGTGTGTAAATTGTCACATTGTGAATTATTTCGAATACTTCGACACCGTATTTTGTGTAAAGGGCTTTTATTGTATGATGAAACAATAATTATCAGCATTGTTTTCTCGCGTCGTGTGCTCATTCTCACTAAGTACGGAAGCCATGTAACAGACTCTTCTTCCCCTCGGCTGTTCTCTTGCTGCAAATTTCTTCCTGCTCAGTGCCTGTAAGTGTATCTGGAACGCTGCTTCCTGTGCACTAGAAACGCCGCCCGCTGGCTGGTGGTGAGGCTCTGCAAGACTGCGCGGTGCTGCGTCAGCGTTAACTTAACCATTCTCTAGCTAACTCAATGCCAATGCTAACTAACTTAACCATTCTCTAGCTAACTCAATGCCAATTTTACTATTCTGCGACGCACGTTTCCTAAACAAGTGCTTTTCTCGATAGCAAGACGAGTTTTCCGATATTTTAGTAACATGAAGTGCATCTTAATATGAAAAAAAGCCTCTTCAGTTCTTCTTATATGTTAATATCTGCATGGACTTATCCTATGTGTTGGCTATCTACGAGGTTTCGAATTCCTTCTTGTTGTTTTATATTGCATTTGTTGAATCGAAATAGCTTGCGTGAAATACTAGCTCACTCAAGTGGAAATCGTTGGCAGGTTTCGTCTTGCAGCCTCATGCTACAGTAACTTTGGTGAGCTATTTTCAGCGCTTGAACAAACTTGGATCGCACTTTGCATCTCAACTCGGGCTAATTTAGTGAGTTTCTTATATGTCATCTACCAAGTAACTAAATTTTATCGCTCTTTGCATCAATCGATTCTTTATGAATGTGAAAATTAATTTTAATGTGGATAAAGTCTTAATAACATTGTCACTCATTATCAGTGTTAAATTTTATTATTGAAGTTTTCACGGCACAAAATATGACCATTGTTCGAAAGAAATATGTTAGGAAGATCTTTGAGGAAATAAAATTTCGTCTGTCCGAGCAGCTATACCTGGTATCTCCAGGCTCATCGCTATCTAGCGTTCCGCTCGTGCTGCCAGCTATACGGCCTCCGGGGACTAGCTGTTGCTTGAGCATCCTGTGCTATCCTACGTGTGGAGGGACCGCCTGCATGATCCATTTACTTCGTTTCACATTTTGTCAAAAATAAATCGTATTATTAACTTTAGCAAAACTAAATTATCTATCGATTGAAAACTTATAGGCGCCGAAGTGGCCTGGACTAGAGCTTTATACTCGAGTGACTGCGCCGCAGCATTTACGGCTGCGAGAGTTAGTTTTATTCGTTGATTCAAACGAAGGGATCTAATTCGATTACATGCTTGCTATTAATATTGCTTGTAGCAATCTGAAGACATACCTAACCAGCCATATGACAACAATTTTCCGGCTTTGATATTCTATATTAAAATAACGCCACTGATTTAAGGCGTCATCGTTACGTCATAGTGGGATGTTTTCAGCTTTTATTATTTCTTATCAAGTTTTGACTTGCTGAGAACCATGGATTATTCCCTGCATCAGTCGGGGGTTTGTCTTTGCTGTGATACTGCACTGACACTTGAGTGTTTGCTGTACAGTTCTGCTACCCTGGCTGTATGACTACCAGTCAAGCTTCATTATTATTTCTTTTTTTTAACCGCTGTAGCCATAGCAGCTGCTCCTCACCCGCGAGCTTTCTGCTGCTGTATAGCAATGCCCTGGCGCGCTCCAGTTTCTTGTAAGAACACGAGCGAGTTGTTATTTAGTGGCGTAGTGCATCGAGTGAGGAAAGCTTGATCTGCTCATATCGCCGTGCATATAAAACTCGCTAGTAATTGGGATGTGGCATATTGATCAGGAATAATGTTGCTATGCATATCAAACGCTCGCGGCCAGGCCATTTTTCAAACCTTAGAAATATTTTTGTGAGTTGCTAAACAGATGATGGAATTTGTCAAGTGAATACAAGCATACTTGGCCTCTTTGTCTATAGCTTAGCTGCTGTTGGATGGTCAGTGCTTTAGAGTACTTTCACTTGCTACTTTTAATTGATTGGTCGTGCGTGAAACCAGCATTCAACTCATGGCATGCTAAAGTAAGGCGTATTTCGATAGTGAATGAATTACACAGAAAATGCCTGTTAATGAAACACGAGATTCCGCTGACAAACCCTTGCCAGTGTTCGCTGTATATGGCCTATGCATCCTCATCCGCTAGTCAATACAGGGTGAACGTTTCTCATAATCTGCGTTGTTAATTTGGAGCTGTTAGAGTAACAATACCCAATGAGTCCCAAGTACAGGCTGATGTAAGGCGTTAGTTGTGTCAATTATTGCGTTTTTTTTTCTGGCTATGCAATTTGAAAATCTTTCCCAATGGACAGTCAGTCAATAGCCAATTCATATTCTGCCAATAGACACTGTATAGTCTGCCAATAGCCCAATGGACAGCCTGCCAATATATAACATTACGTCACAAAAAAATTGACATTTCTTTCAACTATTACGATGCGGTGTGGAACCCATGAAATTGAAAAGGAAAGTTTTTATGGGCCTTTTTGGGTGGGCGGCAAGACATATTGAACGTCAACCCGACAAAGATAGATCAGTGCGACGAATTTTCTTATCGACACAGAAAGTTTTTTAATTTTTTAATGTTTGTCTTTATTGATGTTATATTTTATTGTAAATTTTCAGTTCGTCGAGGACTACGAGCCGACGAAGGCTGACAGCTACCGCAAGAAAGTCGTGCTGGACGGCGAGGAGGTGCAGATCGACATCCTGGACACGGCGGGCCAAGAAGACTACGCCGCCATCAGGGACAACTACTTCAGGTGCGCTGCTCCACGGCCTTCCAATTTCTCCTCTGCGGGCCTCAGGAAAATTGGAAGGAAACCTCATTCCTAAAGTTGATTTCTCCCCTGCGGGCCTCATTCCTTCCCTGTTCCTGAAAAATTATAATGAAAGCCTCATTCCTGAAGTTGATTTCTCTCCTGCGGGCCTCATTATTGTCTTGTTTGACCATCAACGGATTTCATGTCGCCCTATTACCAGATTTATTCAGCAATACATATAGACTTTATAATATAATCTTTTGCTTACTTGAGGCGAGCCTATTCTAATACTCTGAGGACACACGGAGACACTTTTATGGCCAAATTGTTTTATTTGGCCATAAAATATTTTATTTTATTTACTTTGATTTATTTAATTTATTTTTATTTACTTTGACATTTATTTACATATTGACACTTTATGGCCAAATTTTGCGCTTATTTATTCTTATATTCACTTTAGCCTTCTCATATAAACTTTTTCACATTGCCAAATCAAGCTGGTGATCCATCTAACTTTTTTTAACTCGGTTAACTTACTCATCAGTGCAGAATTTTTAGTTCAGAGTTACTCCAATTCCTGGCCAAAATGTCACAATAAATCCTGATTGTGCACTTTGGCGTTGAGGTTACACCAAATTGTTTTGCCTTGTTTGATATATAGCAGATTTTATATGATACAAATTAGATTCTAGGTAAGACAATGCTTGTAAACCGTGTCATCATCGCACGCTCACAACGGCAATTTTGGGCAGATCGGGGGAAGGCTTCTTGTGCGTATTTTCCATAACAGAAGACGACTCCTTCCAAGCCTCGCAGGAGTTCCGGTCAGTATCAATGCTAGCTAGGTACTCCGTTGAACTAGTCTAAAATATTTAGGTAGGGAAATGTCCTGCAGAATATAAAAATTTAGTGAAAATCATAAAGGAAAACATTGATATCAATGGTTGCGTGCAGAGAGTTGACTTTTCCGTGACAAAGCTCTTTGACACGAGCTTTTCCAATATTACGCAAAGGTAGTCCATGTTGGCCCGTGTGGATGGAAAACTGTAATGAAAGCATCCATGTTGGAACCCTCTCTCTGATTACTTCTTCTGTCGTGTCATGTCGAGTAACAATCTCTTTTCGTTAACTGCAACTGAAATTATCTTAACTGTAAAACCTTACCTATTTACTCAGTCTTGCCAATTCTGAGGTTAGAAAACTGTCCAGCCTCACGAATGTACCACCAACTCATTTCCGTATAACAATGCCATGATATACTGTTCTTCGTAATAATCCAGTAAAAAAACTGGCTTCTTCATCCTATGGCCTTCTACTCAAATTTCATCATACGTTTCTAAGAACTTTCGTTTCTATGAACTTTCGTTCCTATGAACTTTAGTTTCTAAGAAAGCCAAGAGTACAAGAGCACCTTCATTCTCGTGCCCATGCACGCCCCTACCTTCACTCTCGTGTCAATTCAAGCCCTTGCCCCCAGTGAGCAGATCCTGCGCGTGAAGAACGACGAGCACATCCCGCTGCTGCTGGTGGGCAACAAGGCAGACCTGGGAGCATCCAGACGCAGGGTCTCCGTGGAGGCGGCGCAGGCGCGGGCCGAGCAATGGGGCGTGCCTTACGTCGAGACCTCCGCCAAAACCAGGGAGAACGTCGACAAGGTAACGTGCTCAGGGCTCGTCAACACCTCGCGTATACTCCGAGGAATTATTGCGACTCATGCCCCCGGTGCACTCTTTGATCTTCTTTCATGGGTCATCCTGACGCAGTTTGGTGCGGTAAAAGGGCGTCTCAGTGCTACTTCCACTGTTTGCTGGTTCAGTGGGGAGGAAAGTTGAGAGAATCTTATTGTCACTGTTTGGACAATGTGATTATTTTAATTTTCTCAGTGAACGCGATGCTAGCACATCGGTGCACAGGTAGGGGGTTGGATACTTTGGCATTGCAAGGAAGCGTCTGGTGAAGCCTCGATTAAGTTCACCTGTACTGCAATGATCAAAGGAAATCCATGTATAAATACAGGAGCTGGGCTTCTCAGGCTTCGTTTAATGTAATGATGATGTTTCGGCACTCATATGGTACTAGTGCATATGTGTTGGTTGTGTTACACTCACGGCGTGGTGGTCTCTATGGTGCACCTAACCCACATATATGCACAACACAGTCACTATTACCTGCTTTAGTTCTGCCATAAGATTTTCTGGTGCCTGAGGTCTTCTCCTCAGCCTGACCTATCCTTATTATTGGGCATAATTTTAGGTCTTCAATCTCACGGTATTCATTGACATTTACATAAAGGTTTAAAGGTGTTAAGGTTTCCACTTCTGTCGCATTCCATTTGGTGAGGTCAATTATTTATTATATTATTCAATCAAATTAATGGCCAAATGCTCCTTATTTTTGTTAACTGGATAATAACTTGACTTAAATTTCAGCTCGATCATTACCTCAAAATGTTTCGTATAATCCTTGATTTGGCTTCGTTGTTGTGATTATTTGTCCTCGCTTTACGTTAGTTATCGTTTGCTGCTTTTTCCTGCGTGTGCCAAAACTCCTGCAGTAAATATTTCAGGAAGCTCAAGGCAAAAATATTCTTAATTGGGTGCGCAGGTTTTTCTTCAGGGTGATTGGCCAGCAGTCTTTAATATTGTAATTATTATGTAGGCTTTTTAATTTCTCTACTTTATCGTGTTTAGATTCGTGCTAGAGAATTGTCTTTTATTCTATTAATTTTGGTATCATATTTTTCTTTTCCTGGTTTTGCTATTTCCTCCTACCCGTCAACTCTTTGTATATTTCTCTAACCTTATCAGCTTTTTAAATATCTCACCTTTTCGACGTTTCATTGCTTATCACCAATTTCCTCCAGTCCTTCATAAATCATTTCTTTCCTAAAAATAACTACAATTCTCCTGAGTTCATGCACTTTTCATCATGTATGATGATGTCCCATTCAACATTTCCCGTCTCACGGTGGAGTCTTTCAATCTTACTTAATTCTGCCTTGTGTCGTATAGACATGGCAGAGTAGCTGGGCTCCTGAGCGTTGACTCAGCGTTGTCTTCAGAAGATAATGAACCTCTTCGTTTTTATTCTTATATTTGATCTCGCGCGCTCTTGTTGTAAGTTGCCGTGTGCATTGCGGTGAACGGCAGAACATCATCGGTCTGCATTAATGTTACTGAGCCCGATTCCGCGTGCTTTTACTCTTCGGTGCACTAGTGTTGATTTTATTAAGTATAACATGGAGTTATAACGGGAGACAATTTTTTTCCGTGCCCTTTTCCTGATACCCAAATAAGGACATCGCTTCCAGCCGAAAAATGATCACCGAAGTCTAGTTGCCAGCCTCTCAGCATCTGACACTATATCGTGTCTGGAGAGTGAATTTTTACCTACGTACTTTCCCTCCCTCAAATTTCGTAATTTCCCTCGTTCATCAATAAAGTGTCATGTTTGCAGCTCAGACCGCGCCATTGCTTCTCATCATCGTCATCAACATATCATGTTTCTGCTCTGCTCCTCATATTTCAGTCTTCTTTCCCTCATGTTCATGACACTTCTGCGTCCTTTATCGATTCCTTCATCTTGCCAACCTCCCTTCTCTTTATTTTCTACTCAACTCCTCTTCTTCCGCCACCTCCCTCATCTTCTGTCTCCACCTCCCTCCTCTTCTTTCTCTACCTCCCTCCTCTTCTTTCTCCACCTCCCTCCTCTTCTTTCTCCACCTCCCTCCTCTTCTTTCTCCACCTCCCTCCTCTTCTTCCTCCACCTCCCTCCATTTCTTCCTCCACCTCCCTCCTCTTCTTCCCTCATCCCTCCCCTTTTTCCTCATCCCTCCCCCCGCTGGGGTGTGCAGGTTTTCTTCGACCTCATGCGCGAGATCCGCGCCCGCAAGCTCGAGGCCGCGAAGACCGCCAACGGCAAGACCAAAGACCCCGCCAAGCGGAAAAAGATCAAGTGCACCATACTCTAAAATGGTGCAGCACTGCACCCACTGCAATGCCAGGTACATCACCGTGCACACTCTTTTCACTTTCAGCATCACCAAGTGCACTGCACTGCAGAATAGGCAGCAACCTGCGACCTGCATCATCATTGCACCTCTGCATGTCTTGTGTAGAACTTTGCCTTGCCTGTAGCATCCGTCCATCTTGTGCTGCCTGTAGCATCCGTCCATCTTGTGCCGCCTGTAGCATCCGTCCATCTTGTGCCGCCTGTAGCATCCGTCCATCTTGTACCGCCTGTAGCATCCGTCCATCTTGTACCGCCTGTAGCATCCGTCCATCTTGTACCGCCTGTAGCATCCATCCATCTTGTACCGCCTGTAGCATCCGTCCATCTTGTACCGCCTGTAGCATCCATCCATCTTGTACCATTGTAACTCTTCGTATGCAGAACAATCTCTTGGTTATGTAGCTGTAACTGCCCCCGTGTGTAGCTAATGCTGTAGTGCTGCATCCTCATAGTTTCGTTAGCTAAGTTAGAACGCTTTCCTTCTGGTGCTGCCGTGGATTTGTTGTCAACCCTCATCAGAGGAGCACGAGGCATTGCAAACAAAAATTCCTGTAGACCGACACACCGTGCCGTTATTACAGGAAACATGTTTGCATTCGTATTAAGGCGGCAAATTTGCGTTTTTACTGCATGTTTTTTTTTTTTTTGCTCGAGTATTTTTCTCAACTCGGCATGGATAAGTGCTGCATCCGCTATTTAATCGATGCGTCTACTGTTCGTTGTAGCTTACGGTCTGGAATAGTGTAAAACATTTTCGGGGGCAGATCAAAGTACAACATAAATTGTGTCATCAAAGCCTCGTATTACAATCTACCGTGCCGTCCCCAAGCTCCACCAGCCACGCATTTCTCCGATGATGCTTCGTACGAGCGTCCAACAGAACCCGCGCACTCATCGTGCCTGTTGACGTCTTCTTAATCAGTCCTCTTGCCCCGAGCTCTGTTTTCTTCCCTTGCATTATTTTGTTGCTCCTATCGTCTACGTTTTTCTTAATGATTCCTGGACAAATAGCAGCTGTATATAGATTCGTCGATTTTTTTCTAAATGTCCATATCTCTGGTATAATCTGTTGTTTTATACTTTTTAATTTCTACTGTAAATATTCATGTCATTGTCTTAATATTAATCACGGATTTCCTAAAAATTGGCCCTTGCTATGACGAACGGCTGATTGCTTTAAAGCTTAATTTCATGTGATTATACACGCAAGAACCCTTTTCCCTACTCATTAATGTGTTCTGAACTTGCTTTAATGTTTAATTTATTCCGAGTTGCGTTTATTTTGTCTCACATATGTGTGGCTTTTGCATGCTATTCCGCATTTGGTTATGTGGTTGTATTAAGAATGTAGTATTTAAGATATTGAACCGATTCTTATTAAGAATTATTTTATTTGTTTTTTACAGCTTGTTGACATCATCTTCCCCACACTATGTTGAAGAAATCAGTCTATTAATCTGAAAATTCCAGTAAAATATGCATGCTACCTAAATACACTAACAGTCGAAGCCCGGTGTCTGCAACGCTGGTGAGAAATGCTATGAAGTGACAACCATTTGGTGTAATTAATGTCCGCGTTTGACTGGCAGAAGCTTAATAAATGATACTTAACAGGTATTTGTAGTCAATTAGTTTAATAAATCATACTTGACGGGTATTTTACCTCTAATACCCGTTAAGTATGATATATTAACCCTCTACCGCCGGATGTCACTCTCCGGGAACTTAACTTTCGACTTAAATTATATGTAAACTATTGAGTGTAGCAACATGAGGACGTTTGTACGCAACAGAGAACATTTTAAAGTTGTTGTACGTGGCGGCAACCGTTTTGCGCTCACTAGAACGTATCCTTTTTGTGAAGTAGGCTTGTGACAATATTGCTCCGGTTACTTATGTCAGGCGGTAGAGGGTTAAGTTGATTAGGTTTATAAATCATCTATAATTGACTTCCTATACCCGTGTTAGATTTGTACGCCTTATCAGCTTAATAAATCATACTTAACGGGATATTCGAAGTCAATTGTTTGATGCCATGATTTATAGGACGGTTATGACGTTAATGCTGGTTTTGACATGATCTATATAGTTTTTAGTTTTTATAGGACGGTTATGATATTAATGCTGGGTTTGACATGATCTATATAGTTTTTATACGACGGTTATGATGTTAATGCTGGGTTTGACATGATCTATATAGTTTTTATACGACGGTTATGATGTTAATGCTGGGTTTGACATGATCTATACGACGGTTATGACGTTAATGTTGGGTTTGGCTGGCAGGCTTTCTACGACCTCGCCCGCATGATCTCCCGCAGCAAGCAGAAGACGGAGGCGCCTGCGGAGGAGAGCAGCAAGAAGACCAAGTGCTGCTGCGTCTCGTAATTCTGCTGCTGCTGCTGTTGCTGCTGCTGCTGCTGCTGCTGCTTCCTTATCACTGTTTTCTGCTGCAAGAAGCTACGAGAAAAGATTATTGTTCCTCCTGCAATGTTAAGGATGCTTGTAATTTTATTACTTCATTATTGAGAACTAGCACTATTTTCGATAAATATGGCACAAACTGCCTTGAGAGATACAACGTTTTTTTTTTTGCTAATAAAATCATACTACATTATATCATTAATCTGTCGCGTTTAAATCATGTTTGTGCTAGCGCCAATACAATCGCGCCATTCATTGAGAAAAGCGCCTTGCCTGAATTTTATGTTTAAAATGGAGGAACTTTGTTCTACGTTTCTTTCAGGGACTGTTCGTCATCAGGCTATATTCCCTTGTATAATTGTTATCATTTTGCCACCTAACAAGTACTTTCACGTGCTACAAAATGTGACTGCCTCAAATGCTCTTGATTGCGATTGACAGTTCTGGTGCTTTCACTTTCTAAAGTACAACTGATCTTGTAGTTCTTTTCTTTGATCGATTGATGAAGTGTTGCCGCTTTGTATCAGATTAGAAAACTACTATTTCCTCGAGGTGAAATTTTTTCAAACGTAATACAGACTTCGTTGTCATGATTCGTAATGTTTGCCTAACTGAAACAAACCATCGACTTTGCCTTAACATTTCCATTAGCCAGTCTAAATGATCGTAACTGTGCAATGCCTGCCATCGACTTGATCCATTTTTAATCCAGCGATTTCTTGGAACAATAATTTGTGCTTCTCGAGGGCTGGGTTTGCTGAGCTAATCACATGTCGGCTGACGGGGATGCCACACATACTTCCTGATCAAGCATCCTTCTTAGGAAATAATTTTTGTTATCGCGAAGTTACTTTTTTACGTTACAGGTCTTTAGGTTAGCTAGCTTATGCCAAATCGAAAAAATATGTTAAACCATTTAAAAAACACTTTGAAATGCAGTAAACACTTCACGTGGGAGAGAGGCTGCTATCAGAATCAACATATCTAATAATAAGGTTCACTCTGACTAACACATCTCTAACGCCCTGTCCTGTCTTCCTCCAACATTATAGGTATCCTAAACTCATACTTGTGTAATGAAGATCCTTTTGTGTTGTGTTGCTCCTACCGAGGCTGCATCCTTATGTTGATGTCATGACTGCCGCAGCTGCGATACTGGATTAGTTTATTACACGAGGAAATTTTTGCATGGACTTGTATGTATATTATATTACCTTGAATTACATTGATTTTTAGTATATTTTGTCCCTAAGTCACCCATATGAAGTTCGTTTTTCTATTAGTTTTTAACTCGTAAGATGTCCTGAGGTTTTGTTGTATCTGTCGCCGCATTTTTGGTTTGAATTACACCAGAGTTGTTGCTGGTGCTGTGGACGCAGCGTAATTTCACGCAGACCTGACTCTTTAGAAAGATATTGGGAACCATGCAAAGATCTACGAGTAAAATTGTCAATGCATTTGAAACCATTTCGAGAGGCAATAAGTAGTCTATATTAAAGTTCCACTGGAGTTTTTGAACTGTAGATGTTACTTGGCTTGCGTAAAAATCAGTAGTTATGGATGGCACTTGCTACTAAGCGACTAGAAGCAAGCAATGTTGAAGACATCTTGCAGTATCAAGCCATGGGCTGGAGGGAGAGCTGAAGAGGATGGTTTATTCAGTGCAAATTTCATGTAAGAGTAGCCGTAGATATTAACATTCAGGACTCGTGGTGATATTTTTCAGTCTGGTTGCAGTAACTCCACCCCATATACTAGAAAACATCATCTGCCATTAGTTCTTTCCGCCAATCGGCTCATAGAGAATAATTTTCCATTTAACGTTATGTTATAATTTCAGCTAATCGACTTTCCTAGGAGCTTGTTGATTTGAAGTTCTCTGCTTGTTCAAGTAAAAGCGGGAGACCTTGAACTTGTTTAGTTCCGTTCGCAAGTTCCAGTTCTCTGAAACAGTCTTGGGAGATCTGCTTGCCTGATGTGAATTGTAGACCGCGGCATCTGCCTTGTAAATATATTGTGTACGTTCGCGTCCTGTAATATATATACTATTTATTATTAATATCGTTACGCACCGACTTGTATTATTGCACAGTTCCTCTAACGTGAATGTTCCAGTTGTGCATTGCGAAATATTAGAATATTAAGCGGAAAACTCTTGTGTAAACGTATGCAAAATGTAGGAAAACAACGTTAGGCTCTACATTTGAGCCCGAAACACGAACGTCTAATCTCCCGTCTAAAAGAATCAGATATTATAGCCAAATCCCCAATCATTAGAAGTCAATAGCTCGCTAATATCATAGTTTATTCCGTAACTTCTTAGTTATTTGAAGCCATGATTTTTCCAGCTCCATCTTCTTGTTGAATTTCATTTGCCGAAGTAAGACCTAAGGTTTTTCTAATACACATTGCTGTAATGTGGTATTTTATGACTGCTTCATGATGGAACTTACATGGTTTTGAGGTGCAAGTTAGATCTGATTATTGCTAGTATTTGTCTCATAATAGTGATTATGTATTTACTACTAATTCTCTTAGCCTCTTTATTCCGAACCTGCAGACACGCGCGACCCATTTTCTTAACGGACAATAGCAACTGTTAACTCAAAGCCGCTACAAGTATACATTTATCAACTCGCGGTTGCTCACATTAGGTGTAAATGTTCAACCAACTATTATAGTGTAAGGTTTCCGGCACATTTACCTCATTTGACTCGCTGCTCATAATTAGGCTTCATTTTTTAGATCATCAGAGCTACGTTGTGCTGCTGTATTTCTTAGATTGCCAGGGTTCTCTTGATCTTCTCGACTGAAAAATAAAAATTTTTTCCTATGTTGGGTCCGTGGAAAAGTAGTACACGATCTTGCACGAATGGAGTGCATTAGTGGTGAACAAATCGCTAGCATCACTCCATGGATACCACTCATCGATCCTGAACAATTTCTTGTATCCTTTGAAATAACCAAAATCTTAAGTTTTTCATGGCGTCTCGATTTCCTCGTCGTTTCTGCGTTGCCATTAATGAACCATTCCATGATTCCACTAATCGTGCTCACGAGTGTCCCGAGCTCTACCTCTGCTTTAATCCTACGCTTGTTTAGCTAATTTCGACTTTAAAATTTTCCATCGCCACCAATTGTTTCCATGTTTATTCACTTTACCCAGTCATATAACAGAAAATGTTAAAGAAGATTATTATAAAGCGATAAAGTCTGGCATGCCCCAGCGGTGAGTAGCGAGGGCTGACTCGTGTAATCGAAGCACATGTGATGGTGCAAACATTTTTACGAGCGACATTTTGGCGTTGGTGTTGAGCTTTAACTATCTTCTTATTTATTATAATATATTAATATTGATGAGTGAACCCATGCAGGTGCCCATGTTTACGTACCCATGTATTGGTCGCATTCTTTAATTCTATTTGGGCTCTAATCTGGAAGAAATGGAAATCCTAAATTCTGAAAGTTTCGCCGGAAATTTTCCAACTGAAACTTCATAATGACTGCTGCACTTTTTAGTCATCTTTTTATTTCTGTCTGCTGCCTACTTGAAGCCGAGATTCTCCTCCGTTGTTGCATGAAATTGTACAACCATCTCCTCTGAACGTAACAACGTTTCATCATAATAGTAAGGTTTCACAGTCGAAATTTGTTCAGAAATATGTTGACAATCAAGGATTTGATATTTCCCAATTGTAATTTTTCATTCAGTTAGCCCTTAACTGCGATTCTATTTTTCGTGTTGCAAGAGCCATCTGATATTATTTAAACTGCAAGTGTTTTTAGGATGCCTAACAGGTTGAACATATGTGTTGGAGATTATTATTGTACTGTTTTTTTACGCCTCTGTTTTTTTCAATCTATGTCCTCATAACAATTATGCAGATCCTTGGTCTGTTTGGTTCATTACGTAATAATCGATATTTTCCGGTGCCTTAAGTTCAATTGAACAAGCACAGCTTTTTCGCCATCCTATTTTTGGAAGCATTTGTAAGTGCCACGATGCTTTAAATAAAACTCAGTCCACGTTATCAACGTTCCTGGAGTTTAGACCCTGTAGCTCATTCACCTGCATTACCAGCAAAGATTAGGTTTCAAACGCATACATGTCAGATATACGCAACAATCTTCTGTTGTTTTTCGTATGTTTACAGGGGCGTATGCTTGTTTATGAACTGGCTGAAGCCATATACCTTTATATATATCCTTATGTTATAGTTGACTCATCAATTAGTACAGAGCGAGGAAATGGGAGGAAATAAGCTAGCTTGTCTACCGCGCGATACTCGCTAGCCTGAGCGCCCATTGATATTCAGTTTCATTCATGTTTCGTAGTCGTGATTCAGAGTCAGGCAGTTAATGCTGGTACCGTATGCGATTTTTATTTTTTATATAATTTTATGAATCGTTTATTATCTGTCCATTATGCCTAATTGTTGGCTGTATGTGTTAGAATAACTAAAAAACACACCTTTCGGACGTATTAACAAGCCGTTTTACAAGTCATTTTGCCACAGGAATTGATGTTTTTATAGAAGTAATTCCCGAACCTTTGGAAGTCTCTGGTATTGCGCTTTCAACTTATAAAGTTTCATTTATTTTATTTCTTTATAGCTCTCAGCTACGAGATATAGCTTATACCATCACAGCGTGCAGGTATATAGCTCTCAGTTATAGCTTGTAATCTGTTCTGTTGGAAACATCGCTGCTACGGGGCCGGAGAATAACTTTTTTACGTGTGTTACGCTGCATTTGTAATGGTGTTGCTTGTGTCTTTTATGCTATATTGCCATTTTGAACCTAATATCAAAAAGTGGAGGAATAAATGTGTAAATACGTCATTTGTTTTCTCGATATCCTTTTATTTACATTCATGCATCTGTTCTCCGAGCCTTGCCTGCGCATTATGGCCGCTAACCTCTCCTTCTGACTTCGTGCTTCTCATTCGTAAGTGTTCTTTGTAAGAGAACATTTTTATTCTAATTTGGGATATTATACGTGCGCAGAAATATTATTTGCGTCTTCCTGGTATCATAATAACAGCCACTCGTTTCATGTGAAATTATTTAGTTCGTTGCGACTCCATAGGATGTCTGCGTCATGGAGACCTGCGTAGTGCTGCGTCTGCGTCATGGAGACCTGCGTAGTGCTGCGTCTGCGTCATGGAGAGCTGCGTAGTGCTGCGTCTGCGTCGAGCCGAGCGGCCCAGCCCATGGCGCCGATGTTCCGTGGGCCAGCGAGTGTGCATGCTGGTGTCGTGGGACATGCAGGTTGTTGCGGCGCAATATCTTCTTTGTTCTACTTCTCTTTTTTGACGAAAATTTACTTACGACCTTCTTTTAAGCACGAGTGCCTATCAGAGCAGGAGAGCTGAAGCTTATCGCAGCGAGGTAATAGACCGTTTTTGTCGGTCATTAAGTGTTTATACCTCGATATTGATATAGAACCGAGCTTCCTAAAGCAACACGAATTATCGTTTCGTGGGTTCGCTATTGGTAGCGATCAAACGGAGCCGCAACCAACGAGTTTATGCAGCCAGTACAAATATTTCGACTCGTAAAAGGTTCCCTTATCATTAACTTACAGTCTTACAGAGGAGATGACAACACCATTTTATTCATGCCTTTATTCTTCTTTACCTTACAAGATCGTGGCTTAATGAATTCATAGCTATATTAACTTCCTCACTTCTAATTTATGTCTCGAATTATTTATATTACCGTGGACCCATCGATTAAGGCTAGATTAATTAAATGTTTTTAAAGAGAGCACAAATTCACACTGACACAAAACTTTAAACCCATAAACCAGTTGTTCCCAACTGTTGTGCGCGTACAAGTGCACCGATGATCAATTAATAGCAAATGAACGGGGAAACTATTGTAATGCACTGCGTTACTTATCGATTTACAACAACACGTGGCCGGACATACTACGTATACAAATATGCCAACTTGCAACCATGGCTACAGCACCGTAATTCAAAACTATCAACGATGTGCATTGTAAGTTACAACTTATTTCTGGAAAGGTATTTGACAAATGTAGGAACAAATGTATCGTGAGCTTTTGAAAACGAAATAAAATGTATTTTCTTTATTTAAGTCAAATATCACATTTCCTTCTCATTCATATTGCCTTGAAATTCAGTGACATGGATTGTGAATCCTAGATCAATCATACGTGATTAATGCATTTAATGTTCGCTGATCATATGTTGCAGGATTGTCGCTTGTTTGAGATGTGAATTAAAGCGAGCTCAATAAATATAGAACCATAACATTTTCGTCGCTTTAAGTTGACCATCCAACTTTTTCGACTCTTGGATAATCAACTCAAAACATCAAATATCATGAATAAATCTTTCGTAAAATTTAAGACAAATTTATTTCTTTTATTTTGAGAAAGGATTATCAGTAAACCAAAGCAAATAAATTGTAGCTTAAGTAACAATCATGGGTCGATTACTACAAACAATTAAAAGTAAAGCGCTCTATACAATACAAGGTTTCCGCAAAGATTTCGACGCAACCAGCGAAAGTTGACAAGTAACGTGCACGTGCAGAAACGAAACAGACATTCATAGCCGACGGCAGTAATTCTTGAGCAGCGTAAACACAATGTCCATGAGGGCGACATAACAGCCAGGCACGTTCGCTGTAAACGATTCCCAACTTGTACAACATAAATATCGAAATCAAGCGATCATTCTAAAATAAATCATCTGACGCTATTTGAATTACTATAAATTGAACGACTCGGCTACTTTCTATCAGTCCGCTAGCGTGCATTAATTGCAAATCGTGTGCAGTGCAAGTAGGTCCTAATCGTGTGCTCTGGTATTAGCAGGTCCTAATACCAGAGCAAGTATCAGGATATTACACACTACTATTGTTGACAATAAATGAAGTTTACCCTAAGTAAGACGAGTGAAACAGTAGAGACAATAACAAGCCACTTGAATTATCGCGGTTCTGGCTGAACAGCTCTACGAGAAAATTGTCGACGTCACTGTTATACGTATAGCGATACAGGCTCCACCAAACTGTTCGATTTGTTCTTCGAAGCCCTCCATACAGGGTTAAAATGATTTTTCTCCTAAATTAATTTAATTTTAATACGTAGGCAATTTTAGTTTACCGCAAAAATATGCAATAAGACCTCATCTCTTTAATATGCTTAATAAGATCTCTCTTTAAAATGCAATAAGATCTCATCGTGTGAGTTTCAACATAATAGTTACCTTTTTTATATAAATAGAACCTTACAAAACCATTGAATAATAATTAATCATGTGACAAATAATTTGAGAGTTGGTGGGAGGTATTTTTGGGACCTAAGTCCTGTATAATTCGTATTTTTTAACTACACGGAGGGAAAGACCGACTAACGGGTGAATATATATCCGAAAAAATATATCTTCATTTATAAAATCCATAATACTCTTCTCATCGGTTAGCGTGTCGCAGAATAAGATAGGCAATACGATGGGCCAACTTCAAGGTATCGCAATATATATTTTTCACAATCATCCACACGTAACATTATTACAGAAGAAATTGTGCCGGAGTTTATTACACGAGCACTTGCAGAAAGTGACTCAAGGCGCTGCAGACCCCACTGGTGACTCAAGGCTGATGCAGACCCCACTGTGGTGACTCAAGGCTGCTACAGACCCCACTGGTGACTCAAGGCGCTGCAGACCCCACTGTGGGTGACTCAAGGCAGCTGCAGACACCCAATGTCTGTGACTCATGGCTGCTGCAGACCTCCGTTGTAGGCGTAGTCTGCTTTATTGTGCATGATCAGAACATCGTCCACAAAATAGAAACTGTCACTCCGAGTCTCGAATGGATGGTCGATCATATCTTGAGCTGCACAAACAAAATCCATAGTCTGTTGTTCAATACGAAAGAGATTCCTTTTTGAAATTAAATCTTATGGCGGCAATACTAGTTTTGTTTTCTTAAAAACGGTTGCAAGAGTTTTTGACAGCTGCTATGTTATGCCCTAAGTTTTTTAATTTCCAGATGCCGAATTAAAGATGCAAAATTACTTATGATTATATAGGCAACAATTGCTTCGAATTTTATCAAAGACATGGCGACTTATATTTGACCGCCCCAAATACTTCACACGAAAATGGTTTGGCATGAAAGAAAATGGCACGAGTTGATTTAATGTCCCTTTAAATTCTCGCCTAATCAGTTGAACATACAACAGATTCCTAATAACGAATGCCGCAAGTCATTCAAGAATAAATAAAAAGGGCTCTTCATGAGAACCTAATACAATCGCTTCAGCTGTTGAGCTACTTAGTCTTGGCTACTTCTGCTTTGAATAAATTCCAGATGCGTTCTGCCAAGTGTTTCACAACGAAATTTTGCTTGCAACACAAAATTAATTAAGTTTTCAGAAAAAGAGTACCCGGTGTACCAGAATATCAGTAAAATGAGAAATAAATGAATATCGCACTCGTAAATAATCTACGGAAACTACGCTTAATATTTAAATTAGCGAAAGATTTTCCACGTTAATAAAGCTAAGATACGCAAGATTCTGCAAGCACGAGACGTTCGTTTATACAGCCAATAAATGTACCTCTAACTGGCAGTGAGGGTCACATGCAAATTGCAGGACTAAATACTGAAGTCATGCTAGTTCACATGGGAGGTTTGTGTCGGGTGCAGCGAACTCTCTTTCGCAAAAATATGTTTAATACTTAGAGCCCGCGGAGCACTCAGCAGAATGAGAGAACGCAGCCGCGAGCGAGCAGGTGTTACCATGACAAGGTGTGGCACGGGACGGGGGCGAGTAAACAGAAGCAGGTGCATGCATGACAAAATGGGTAAATAAGCAAGCAGGTGCACGCGCGATAACAGCAGTGAACAAGGGTGCAGAATGCGGGTGCATAATATCTAGCCTAGTTACGAAGTTTACCTACTCTACACAAACTAAAATCATTTATATTTAAAGAAAATGAAGACCCAAGATAAATTGGTGGTTGCTGGACTCTAATCGGAACACAGAGCGTGACGCTGACCCTAGATAATAGCCTGACAAGAAGCAATAATTATAGTGTATTCGATACAACGAAAAATGGACACCGAATTTTTTGAAGTTGCTTTACCTCAGGATTGTCACATTAGGTGTCGCCATCGATCTATTCTTGTTTAAGGAAAGAAGGAACGGCCTTTAAGAGTTTGTGTGACCTTTGCCATTGACGTGTCAGCGGGAGAAGTCTACCAAACGCATTAACATTTCGCTTCATGATTGGCCATAATTTCTTGCATGGTCCATGGGTAGGATCGGTAGCGAGATAACAACTTGTCTTCACTAAATCTATCGATTGCATTTATATTCAAAAGAAGCCGACATCTTCCTCAACTGGATTCACATCAAGCTTCCATCGTAGGGCTAACTTTTCTCGTAAATTACATTTTCGTACCTGCAGAGTGAGTTTGGTGATGTGAAAATTGCTTTATTATACAAATAAAGACATGAAAAAACACCCATTCAATGCCCTAATATAGTCCACAAATAATAAATAAATTGTAGGAGCAACAGTTCAAACTCTAACTTTATTCTCATCGTATTCAAAGAGATTTGGAAAATTGTCGGAACAGAAATTTCCGGAGATTCCGAAAATTTTTGGGTGCGGGAAAGTAGAGAGATAAGCGAGGATGTAAGGCCGTGATGGGTTTATGTGAAAAAGTAAGCCAGTCTGACATGGAATTGGTCAGGTTTACGGCGCTCTAGCGTGAGCTGCGGTTTCTTAGATCCGAGGACGAGCATATTGCATGTTGCAGGTGAACAGAGGGCTAGTTTAGGCGTTAGATTTGTAGCCTACGGCTGCGCTTTTGTGGGGATTGTAAAGATGCTAACTGAGATCGAGGAACATCACACACAGCCGAGTACACATGACACACATAACTAGCTACACAATAATAACACAGAGCCACTCATGGCTTGCAGCTAGTCACACATGACTCACACGCAGGTAGCATCACATGACACACACACAGCCACACATAACTCACCACATCCAGATACACACAGCCACACACAACTCATCACACACAGATACACACAGCCACACACAACTCACCACACACAGCCACACACAACTCACCACACACAGCCACACACGACTTACCACACACAGTCACACACGACTTACCACACACAGTCACACACAACTCACACACCGCTACCCTAGGCAGCTCGCAGCGCACGTTCATCCAGTCGATGAGCAGCGGACTCCAAGGCACGCAATCGATCGTTGCTACGATAGCGACCGAAAAGAAACTGACAGCGTGCAACACTAACATCAGCGTGCAACACTAACATCAGCGTGCAACACTAACATCAGCGTGCAACACTAACATCAGCGTGCGACAGAGTTATACGAACAAGTTTATTAAACAAACAACTCTAAATTTTGACGAACCTTCATCAAAACGAGGGCAGTCAGCAAATTTTCATAATGTGACAAAAAGAGACATTATTTTGAATATTTACAAGAAAAATTCCTCACCGAGATCCGGAGGTATGGCAGGGAACTCGTATATGTGTTCGCAAGAGTTCCGAGAGTTCGGGATGCAGTAGCCGAACTCGAAGTCGAACATTTTTAGCAGTCGGTCTCGGAAATAGTGACGCTCGATCATGCGGAACTTGTTCACCGGACGAGAGCCCACCGTGAACTCCACACTGAAAAATATATAAATCCGGCCATGAATTTCACCGCACAAAATGCATCAATATTTTAGTCGGAGGGAAATATTATGTACTTGGTGATAATAGGTCAACAAAGTACGATTGATTTCAAGTTAGCACCAATAACCGCTGATTTAATTTTAAAAACATTGCCAGACAAAAAATATAAAAGCATCAAAATAGCATCGGCTGACAGCTCTGAAAAGCTGCGTCTAAGATTAACTTCGTTGAAATATAAAATATAACATAAGTACGTATATCGCTAATTTAAAGATGCAACAAACTAAAAGGTGGGCTGCAAGTAAAAATAAACTGATGGTTAGGATTCATATAAGAAGACGCGAGAGTTGGATGCCCGTGAAGTCTGGTTGTGATAAACTGCATGTTCTTAATTCAGGCGCAGCACTAACCAGAAAAAAAGTACAAGCAGCCCTTGCTCCTAATAACGGGATAATTTTGCTATAAAGAGTTGCACACGCGTTTTTTTTCTCGCAGTATTCAACAACAAAAACGGAAGGGAGAATAGGATGATTCTTAGTCCATTTTTGATGGATCAGATCTTCAATAACAAATATGAAACTCGTGATGAACCACTGTTCACTACACATATTATTTAATTTTAATTCGATTAAGAGCAATGTAGAAAAGGAACGGCAATTTCATAATTAAACAACAATAAAGAGCGACGATAGTGGAGCTTCGACGTAACCTGCTGTATTACAAGGCTAAAATAATTCAGCTCGATAGTTCTAACAGTAGTATTAGCAACCGTGAATAAAATTAGTTGCAGTGCTTATTATTCACAAACACAAACAAGGCGCAGACTATGAATTAGAATAGAACAAATATGCTCGATCTATATTTTTCTGAGAGGTAAAGAAAACAGTTATATAAAAATTGTAACTCCAGATTGTTTGGGCAAAGAAATAATACTCGGCATTGCAACTCTTCATTCTGGCAAGTATAAACAGCCTCTCATCATCACATACGTCACTGGGTTAATTACTCAGGACTCGGAACTACGCAACTCACGTGGCTCCGACGGTCCGCAGTTTGAGGAACTCCGGAGTGAACTGATACCGCACGAAGCGTCCAGCGTTGGGGTCAGCTTCCTCCTCCTCTGGGGCACCTTCGTCCCCCTCACACAAGTCCCCATCTGTTGGGTGTGCATATGTAGTACCCTGATCTCATATAGTAAATTGATCTTCTTGAATAGAGGATCGGATAGGTAATACAAGGATACAATATGATCAAATTGCGTCAACTAAATACAGACACGAAATACAATGCAGAGCAGGTGAGAATCATGCTAACTATGCAAAATGACTTGATCGGGAGTGATCGATCTATGTACTCGTATATTGCAAGGATGTAACAAGCAAACGTCGTATGCAGGATAAGACCCATTAAACGTCAAGTTTAATGTGTTTTATTTCAAGTTTTAAGTTAAGCTGAGAGCAATATTAACAGATTGTATTCCAATGCAAGCGCTACAAATCTTCACTAGAAACATGAGCCACGTGAAAGAAATTATTTTTCTAATGATACAGCAATGAATAATGAAAATTAGTTAATTGCAAACTCATTTGTACTCGATTCCTTGTTTTAGAAAGTATCAGGCTTATCGCTGTGTAAAATTTGCATTATTATCTCGTACATATTTCGCCCGATACAAGATCGTGGATAAATCCTCGGAATTTACTCAAACACTGCCAATTCTGCAGAAACACACAATTGAATATGATCCATCGTCGTAGAAAGTAGAGGGAAATCGTATAGCTACGAACGTTGCAAGAAGTAGCGCCAAATACTTGCAAGTTTTGATTAAGGCTTCAAAAAAATTCAAAATTTTTGCAATTTAAAATTCGCTAAAAGTAGTATAATAGGCAGGAAATTCAATTCTGAAAGTTTGTTGTATTCAATTGTACAATTTTTTATTATTAATGGCAGTCTGACAAATGAGATATACACAAACTTCTTCATTTGAAGCTACAATTCCATTAAATTTCCCAATAATTTTTTTACTGGTAGGAACGTTTTTCAACTACCCGCTGGCATTATAAGCCAATTGATTATTAGATTTTATTGTTTATAACGTATAGTCATTAAAGATATCTCAATATTTCAATTTATATTCCGGCAACTTTTAGCTACATGTTTGCTCCTCCGACTTTCATTTCTATAAATAAAATCAGAACTTCGTAAAAAATAATGAGGGTAAAACGCATCACCCTGATGCAGGTCAGTCGATGGTGGAATAGGTCAGAAGGTCTCAGCCCCACCACCAAGTTCTTAGCACAGAACTAAACCTTTAATCATGTCGGACCGACTTGATGAGCGGGCTCGCGTGCCCGATCCTAACGAGTGCCGACTACGTGCTTACTCTTATGAAACTAAACGCTTACCATTCGTTAATAAATGTTACAGGGAAGGTTATTCTTACACGGAGCAACAACAATACACTCACTACGAGAAGACAGTGCTAATTAAATGTGCCAGAAATATTAATCGCGAACGCAGTTAAGATTAAGGGTAACGCACGGTAAAGCCGGCTTAGCGATTACTCACCAGGCACGGTCGGCTTAGCGATTACTCACCAGGCACGGACGGCTTAGCGATTACTCACCAGGCACGGACGGCTTAGCGATCTCAAAGAGCACAGTTGAGGTCTCCATGTCGCGGATCTTGAAGCGCGTGAAGTCGATGTCGTAGATATTGGCGTCAGGCGAGCAGAGGTAGTCTGGACATCGTTAAAAAATTTTGATCAGTACTCGCTGCAGTGAGTGACAGAGCGCGCATTTTCTCGTCCGTCCGTGACGTGAAGTCACGGACGGACATGACGAGCACAATAGCGCCTTTTTATCCATAGATGAGAAAATGCGCTAAAAATACAGATAAGGGATATGATAACCGCGTTCAATGTAAATTAGGTAGAATTATTTACTTTGATGGATAATAACAATAATAAAAGCAATAGGCAATAAATAAATATTTATAGGCATTAAAAAAGAGGACAAACCATTAAAAGCGTTCAAAACTTTCTAGAATTTGACACATTTGAGAAGAGAGGTTCGTCAACAAATTAAAACAAGAAGGGTACCTACGCGAAGCCTAAATGATGTCATGGTGTATTTACAGTCCTAGCATAAAAAATTCGAGATTTTTATGCGGAAAGTTAATTTAGTAACTAATTGATAGCTTGATGAAAACTTCAGCATATCTTAATTACTCCACTTTATAGACCAGAAGACAAAAATCGATGCTCCTGGATATACACATGCTACATTGTTCATTACCAACCCTGTAATAGTGTAACAGAATAATTAAATAGGATCCGTTGAGCAAGAAGAAGACGTTCGAGGTTCTCTCTCGATAATTTGGACAGATCTGTACATTACAAGTTTACAACCTTCAGGCAGCCAAGGAACTCAATCGCATCAGTTTTGATGGGCTGAGCAGAGCGCGCGGCTGCTTCATCATGCATACAGCAACGTCTGCCTGGCCCTGATCATTTCTAAAGAACTGCTGACCAGGCAATCTTGCCACGCGAATACGGAACTTCGACCTTCTTAATCCCAGGAAGACATCTTTCGAAGCCATTTATTTCATCCCGTTGGATCATGACAGGGAAATATGAACATAATATTCAATATTAGCAAATATTAATAACTCCGTCTTCCCCCCAAAAAATACCGGTAAACTATCGTATTGGAAGAAAATTAACGAAATTTCTGTAGGCAAAAATTATCAGTATACATACATGTGCGTGCATGGTGCGCATCGAATTGCGTCGGCATTACGTAACAAAACTTCTATACATGAGTAGCCGAGCAACGCGACAGGAGAAATCGTACGGTGATTTTCACGTGCATCCACCCAATTCGTCCGTATACATCTACAGTGCGTATTCGTACGGTATTCCACCGTACTTCAAATTTTCATTCACGTGTTAATTTAAAAAACCCGCGATGAAGCTGGTCACCGAAATGTGTTGATTTATGTTTAGTGCGAAATTTCTTGACTTCTAGAGTTTTAGGTTATTCGAGATTTAATTAATCCATTGATCGTAAATTATTGTAACGGCAGGTTTTCGTGCACGCATAATTCTAAAAGCAACAATTGATTCAAGGAAGTCGATTTCGAAATTCAAAAGAGATGAGTGAATTAAAACTCGTTTTAGTATGGGAAGAACCATGCATCAGAATGCAGCCACACTCAATAACCTGAATAATAACAATGATAATAATGAATAACCTGAATAATGTTGGTATTTTGCCTGACGTATAGAGCGTTCTGAGGCGTGATGGCGCGGGACAACAAAGCCACTTACCTTCAGTGACGCGTTGCAGCGCCAGGACGTCTTCAGGAGTGATGCGCCCTTTGCTGATGAGCTGTTCCTCCGTCACACCTGCAACAATGACAAATCATTTCTAAAAAAATACTTTAGAAATGACAAATCATTTCTGAAAAAAATACTTTAGAAATGACAAATCATTTCTAAAAAAAATACGTATATAATTAGAATAGATAACGTGTAAATCAGAACCTACTGATTTATATGAATGGAGAGTCTTAAAGTTTAGACTTTAATCAGAAATAAAATTTGAAATGACCTGGCCTTTCTTTCAAAATTTCTACATTCAAACAAGTTTTTCTTTGAAAATAATTTACGTAACATAGCGAGCGAACAATAATTAATGGGAGTCTATTTGATGATACGCTTTATCAGATTAACTACTAGTATGCGGCTCATTCTACGATTGTGTTGCTTCTGCAATACGGATGGACAATTAATGTACATGAATTATAATTCAAGCGTGAAAAAGTTTTAAAAAAATCACAGAAAATTGTATTTCAATTTTTCTCTACAAGAATGTTAGAAACATTAAAATTATCAAACTGACTAAGCGGAAACTTCTGAATGAAAATTCATGTCGAAAAGTCTAAATCAAATTTCAAATCAACAGGGCATGTAGCCATGCTTTGTTCAACTTAGGAGAGACTGGACACATAAATAAATTTGACGAACAATTTAATCTTGTTTTCAAGAGTATATCAAGCGCAATCCATGTGTTGTGAATCGCGTCTCATAAACGTGCACTGTTAAAAAAAACGTGACACCTCTACATGGTGGCCTCCTATCGTGCTCAATTTACTCCTGAGTTTCCGGCGTAGACCAAAGAGAAAGTTCACTAAGGAAATATTATAATAGTATATACAGTAGAATACATGTCATAACTGCACGATGCAAAACTGCAACGATCTCATTATGATCTACACTGTAAACGTAACGTTTATTAAGAAACTAAACTTGCAGACAAACCAAAATAGCAAGCAATCCTTTATGATCTTGTTTTCATTTAATTTAGTGTAAATTTTAGGATTAAATAATAAATTTCCGACTAAAGTCCGGAGATTTTTTTTTATTGTATGTTTTATGGAAAATACTTCCTCGAGTAAGTTTATTCATGGAACGAAACATTCATTCCTCATTTAAAAAACCGCACAAACCAAACGACGAACATGAATCCTACGAACAGACATTTCGCGCGCCTCATTTTTTCAAGATTGTGGTAGCAAACTAAAAACCAATAATCCGCCGTGGGAAAACCCAGAAAATATTCCAAACGAGTCCGCAACTGCGGGCCCAGAAAGCATAAAGCGCGAACACGTTCCAGGTCGCACAAATTGCAGAGAGACGTCATCGTATAGCTCGTTGTAGCACTTTATGAGGACGGGCTGGAAGATGCAGAGGCATAAGAACGAACACCGTCGCAGAGGACATAAAAAACTCGGCCACTGAGACTCACTAAAAGAGAAGAACCATCATGTCCCCGCAGACGCAGGATTTGGGTTATTTAAGCGCGCCAGAATCTAATTCTTTTCAGAATAAACGTGGCTAGAATGTTATTTTGAATGCGGTATTTTTACCCCAAAGTCAGAAAATGAGAAAAGATGCTTCTTGACAGAGACAGCTGAACAATTAGTTAGCAAATAAAGCAGAGTCAACAAGGACTTCAGCAATACCTAAAATCTTTATTTATATTAACTATAATTACAAGGCTGTCTTAATTAAGATCAATTAAAACAGCCTTGACTGTGTTAATCAAAACAATTAAGATCAATTAATAAGTAAGATCAACGCAGTTGCACCTTTGCGTGACATATGGAGGTCGTGTGGAACGCATTTTACACCGTATTTGAGAGTCTGGTGTTGATCCACAATCAAATCTATGCTGCCATTTTTTCTTTTTGAACAAAAACAGATCCATTTCCAATATAATTTTTTTATTGCAATATTAGTTTCACAGCGCAACCTCACACATGGTTTCCTAGAGTACAACGGCATTCATACACAGCGGCGTTACAAACATCATATTGGAAATGATTGCCTTTAACCAAAATTCAACTAATAACTGAATTCTCTGCATCCATCTCAGCAGTTCCCCGAGTTGACTGCGCTTTGTTATCTGTGTGAATTTAACATAAATAGCTGCAAAAGTCAGGCAATTAAATGAGCTATCAACTGGAATCTTTTTAGATAAAACGAGAAGGACGAAAAGTTGATTATATAAAACAGACCCTACATATTTTATGTACTTGTTTTTGTAACTCGACCCGCTGAAAGTACTCGTGTATACATATATATATTTTTAGAATTGTAAATATTATTTTTGTTACCAGAGCGGTATTCTTTTACCAAAAACACACAAATTAACTAACATTTTAATAAAAGCAAAGTGTTCTCTTTATAGTCGAAGTTATTATACTTTATAATTTATCTCGATATTTTTTTTAATACAGCGATCAGTAATTTTAATTAAAAATATATAAAGGATGGTGTAGTTGACCTTATGATCCAGCAGTGAATGGTTGCCGACCGTGCAGGCCGCTTATTGATCACTCAGGCCAGAGGAGCAGAAGGGCGAACGAAACTCGGTCGCTGCTCTCTAGCAATCGATATTACTAGTTAAACATAAAGGAGCAATACGTGTTCCGGCTCAACGTGCATGAAACCCTAAACGTGTGCTAAAAATAAGTGCTTATCCAGACTAACCAGCACACCGCGTGACATTAGTATTGCGACTCAAGGAAGCCCCTACAGACTATTGGCCGCTTAGGAGTCGCGCGTGCAATACTCCGCAGATTTTACCGTAAAAGTGTCGCACAATGCTTGCCGAAAGACGACGGATGATTTACCATAAATTGACGCCAGCATTTATACTAAATTATTTAATATTAGAAAACCATTCCACGTCCTATCAAGCCAGCGTCCTATCATTTGATCAACAATTGTTCGAGAGACGTTTTCAGTGAACTTTCCATTTTCTACTCCGGGGCGATACGCGACTTTATTAGTAGATCTTCATTTCATATAGATTATCAACTAAAAATAAATGTTTAATACTATGTTTTTCAACACTTCAACACGGGCAAAATACACATATTTCTGCACCCCGGCACAGGTACCCTCCAGCCCAGTCTCGGTGCCTGGCAATGAGCTGCCCTAATATGCACCTAAATAAATAATAGCCATGATCAAATGTCATGCTATTTTGCACAGGAAAAAACGACTGTCTCAAAATTTACGATTGAAAAATGAAAACTATGTAATCGCATGCTAATCGTTACGGGCAAACGCACGAGCTTCTAATTAAGTACAGCAGTTTTCCGGGAGCGCCCTGCCAAAGCATTTGCTCAAGCCGGTAAGTGTCCAAAACTAAATACCGGTATGCAGATCATTAACCGAGAGAAAGGCATCCCCGCGGTAACTATATACAAATTAATCTTATTTGCTAAGGATTATCGTCTCCGTAAGTGATTAGGGAGGTGATGTTATAAATACGCAACTCAAAATTGAAGATGACATGATGGCAATCAGTATTCACACTATAGTTATATACGCTTAAGTCTTAACACTTGCGTTTCATATCCCTTCGAATTGTGAGCGCAAGTGGTATTCTGTGCCTTGTTAAACACACTAAAATATTACCGAAAATACTTCTATAAGTTTAGAAATAACAGCTGCGATAGACTTTTGCTTTAATAGTTGGCCGAGTGAAAATTCGACCTACTGTTGCGTTTCCGGCGATAACGTCAAAGGATGTACAACACCCTTCAGCTGACATTAATGACAAAATATTTTTACAATTTTTATAGAAGACTGTGAAACAGCCATTTCAACCAGTAGCAATTTTTAATTGATGAAACCATCAATTTTAATCACACAGTGACTAAATTAAACGATCCCTACAGATTTGGACAAGGTCCAAAATAAATTAATAAACAGGTTTTCTCAAGACAATGAACATGTTGCAACGCATCTAATATTTCACTAATGTCGCATAAAATGCTTGGGTGCAAGCCACAGAAGGACTGATAGGTACCTTTAAAAAAATATACCTATGTATTTACACAATTCAAATTTATCGAAGTTTTGCTCGATGATATTCATATCGGCAGCAGAATTTTACGTAGATTTTCAGTGTTTAGGTGACTATCGACAAAGGCAATGGCTACGTGGTGATAGATGCAGGGGCTTCGTCTCTTCAAAATAGCTTAGCGCGATTTGCTTCATCATTTTGATATCAAAACAATCTGATAGCATCAACAACAAAGCACGCAAATGTGCACAATGTACATCCAATCACGGCAAGAATGCCTATATTAGTTGCACTTGTATATTAGGTGCTTCTGAGTCATACCACGAAGCGGGTCTATACTGGGAAATGGCTGAAAAATAGTCATGTATCGTAAAATGGGGTAACTTAGACCACTTTTTTCTTATAAATGATGCCATTTTCTTACTAGCTAAATTAAACTTGAATTGAAACATGCAAAATACAGGTCTATACTCTAGCTTCACTCACCATAAATTGCTGGCTCCTGCCTCTCATAGTCTTTATGTAATTTCAAAAAAAAGTGATGGTCTTTGTTACCCCAGCTCTTGGGGTAACTTAGACCGGGTGGTAAAATCAATTATTTTTTTTGGTAAAATAACTCCAAATAACTCCAGGAGGTACTCTGGCAGGCTTTAAATAATAGCTTTTTTTCGTGGGTCACATTTTTAATTTTTTAACCTATTAGATATGCAAACTTTTTAAATCTTTCTATTGTGTTATGTAGCCTCAGTATTAGGCCTTTAATGCCCATTGACAAAATTTTTCTATGTCAAATAGTTTTTGAGTTGTGGGGGTTTTTGTAAAAAAAAGAAAAATGGTCTAAGTTACCCCATTTTACGGTAGTTGAATTCTCTGCAGGCCCGTTTCTTAATGAATTAAAATAACCAGGCTTTCGTTAACAATAGCAGAAATCTAGATCTTAGACACAGAAGTCCTTGGTCTGCAAAATAGATGTCTGTTAGTTTATAGAGACGCCCATGAAAGCAAAATGATTAGTCTAGATGTTCACCCTGCAAAGTTAAGTTATCTATCACTATCTACTCATTAAGTAGCTTTAACTGTATAAATCCTTTGGTTCAAAATTAGATATATAAGAAGCCCTTGTCAGAACTTAGACTCAAAATTATTATGACTGCCACGAAACTGTCGAATGACATTAAATCGGGGGCATCAGATCACAAATCGCAAGCGTTATTTTGCGTTTTTAAGATAAGCTTTAGGAGTGGCGACAATTCCCATCCTGTTCTGCAAGCGTGAATAACCTCGGCGCCATATCTTCATGAAAAAGTAATTCGGTACCAATTAAAAGCTTCAGCAGCAGCTTCTTTGAGAGCGGTATGGTAATAAGACTGTAAGCATATACTTGATAGCGTCACCACTTACGGATTGTTCTTTGCATACCAACAAGCTATAAACAGGAGCTTGGGAGAAATTTAAGAAAGAAATAGATTCTATAAGAAAGAAATCGAATCTATGTCGAGATACAGGATCCTGCTGAAACAAAGGACCGTCAGCTGTCTTACTTCAACCCGAAAACGTGATGATGAATAAAGAATAAACAGAATAAATAATTTCGTGAAGAACAAGGAGATACTAAGGCAAGACGCAGTTGCCTACAGTTACTGCACCACACAAACGCGGTTACGCCATAGTCGAGCTTAACTGAAGGTCAAATTTGGACATTGTTTTAATATTTGTGAGCAGTATAACGTGAAGCTAATTTGTGGAGTCCATTGCAGATACTGTCGCAGAGCGATGAAAAGTTTGAATGCCTGTAGTAGTTTTACACATAGACCGACACGCCATGCATACAGCAATCAACTTCGATGAGTCTTGCAGCATTCATCAATCAAAAAGAACTATCATCTGGACAAGGTATCAACTATCGAATGAGAGTGAACCCTCAGTTGAACTACCACGCTTCATGCCGTTACTGCTCATAAACTGCTTTTTTAAGTGAACATGCAAATTATCTTCCCACGTGGGAACGCAGGACAGAGTGCACGGAAAAAGATATAGCATACATATTGTGGTGCTCTTTAGCCGACGTTTCGTGAAACTCGGCGATTAACCGCCGAGCAGAAACTTGCGTTTCACTTGCATTGTCTGTCAGCAGCCGTATGTTATTGTTCGTCGTGAGATTCCTACAACATATGTGCAGTCAATAATTATATTACCTGAAAGGCGTAGTCGTGATCTTCATGATTAAATAAAACTAGGTAGCTGATGGCGCAGTAAATAGGAAAGCCTTCGTGACTCCACTTTTCGATTCATTAATTTACGATATTTCGCCCTCACCACGCAAATAATTTATTACTGCTATCTAACTTTTCAAATTTCTTTTTTCAATTATAAAAAAATATAACTCAGTACTCACAGCAGTGTGTGACAGAGAGCGCATTTTCTCGTCCAGGAAAACGTGAAGTCACGGACGGACGGAGAGACGGATATGGCGAGCACAATAGTGTATTTTTACCATAAATGAGAAAATGCGCTAAAAAGACAAATCCAAAAGTAAAGTATGACTGGCTCGACCGAAAACACGCAGCTAAAATCGCTTTACTGCATTCATAATTATTAGCTTAGCACTGCCAACTGTCTGCCATTTCCACTGCATTCACAATGATCTCAGCACTGCCATTTCCACTGCATCCATTCATGATCTCAGCACTGCCAGTTCCACTGCATCCATTCATGATCTTAGCACTGCAGTTCCACTGCATCCATTCATGATCTTAGCACTGTCAGGTCCACTGACGCGTGCTCAGTCTCAAGTCAATACGAATAGCGTCATTGTCGACCAATGAAAGTCCAGGCATCAGTGCACAATATTGCCGTAACAAATTTTCAAAATAGTCGGGCTATTTAAAACAAAAGTTTCACAATTCAAATCTAAAAAAACAGTATGAACCAAATACAACACTAATGTTCTCCACGGAAAATTTAAAAATTACGACATTAGAGGAGAAAACCTGAGAATCGCGACAGCAAAGCCGTACAACACGCGTTAGCTAACTTTCACCTTCAGCGCAGCGTGGACAGCGTCTCCGTTTGCGTGACTGACATCAGATGTGACCACAACAGTCGTCGCTTATCTACGACTACGCCAAATCTGTTGTATCTATAAAACAGTTTAGTTTAGATGCAAGGCTACGTCTGAAGCTGCAAGAAAATGCTACATTGCTACTGATCCTCAGACTCGTCCAAATAGTCTCAATTCGTATTAAAGCCAAGCGCAAGAAGAGATTTCTGAAACGCATTTACCTCTGACTCTGCGTCGTCTTATAGTTCAAGTATTTAGAAGCAAATTAGTTTACCAACTACGAGTGCAGTTTACGACCAAGAGTGTTTAGATTCGTATGAATTACTCAATATGCGTGCTTAATTTAAGTATACACCCTTACACGATTGTCACTTACATATACATCACTGCAGCCAAACTTGCCTTCGGAAATACAAGAATATTCCATACATTTCACCCAAACGCGGAGTGTTAAGTTATAATAAACTCACACGTCCGACCCAAATGTTTCTGTCCCATTAGCCATTACCTCCTGTCGTCAGCAGTCACTACAAATCCAAATTATCCAATTGAATGATACAATAAAGATTTGAACAAAATCACATAAAGCTGCTAAGTATTCACCATTTTAGTCTTAAAAAATTATTAATCGTTGTCATTATATTTTGATTTTATTCTTTATTCAGCATATGCAGTCGAAAAAATACCTTCAAGCCAATCGGAAGGAGCAATGAAATGTAAAACCAATTGCAATTAATTTTTCGAATCAATGAAAAGAATTTACTAGTTAACTTGTTCAAGAAACGTAGAAAAGATCAGGCGTTCATAGAGGGTGGTGCCAAGCATAATTAATCAAATTAGGCAAAGATCAACAAAAAATATCAGCTCAGTGCCAACGCCATACGAACGGCTTTCAACTAATATTTTCATTGATTATAAACTAGTAAAAGAAAAGTGTAATGATTTATAACAAGCTTAAATATCTTTTTATGGCCACAAATCGTTGCTTGTTCGTGACTTCCACCATTCACGTAACATTACAGCCATTCTTCGAGCGCCTGTCAGCGGCTGCAGTGAAGTTCTGACATATTGATCACGTTTGTCGACGTGGAACTGTTTGATACGTTTGGTCGAATATCTTTACGATTTTGGGTTGGTTAGAATCTAGTCGGTGTTAATTTAATAATCTTGAATGCAATTTTTGACTTCCATAATCATACTAATTAGATTATACCTAAAGGGAAAGAAAAACAAAAATTAAACGCGCAGGAAAATGAGTGATCACACACAAATCAATATAACTTTGTAATATATGTGCATCCTAGCAGTCATGTATACGAGCTTGGTGACTAAAAAGATATACCAACATGAATCGCTAGAAAAATTCGATTTTAGAATAAGCATTCTAGTAGTTAGCAAGGCTAGATATCGACATGAAGTGATATTAAAGGCGTTTAAATACCTTGACGATCAATCATGGATTCTCCACTGTCATACAGAGGTACATCTCTTCTCGAACTTGCACCTCTAACACCAGACTTCTTTCCTTCTGCATCCGCAGTCAAAACGCTCATTGTTGCGAGAGTTTAGAACGTACGAACGCTTAGGCTACACACCATCACATAACCCAGCGTGAGCAACACTGTCGGCACTGTTTGGATTTCATTTGGAATCTCAACAGTGTGGCTCGAACCCCATCGGCAATAGATACCGAGAGCACGGTCGCTGGAAACGTAAACCAACTTTAAACAGCCTTTTTACAAATGAAATACAATTTTTACGTAAAATTGTTCAGGTCAAATTTAATTCTACCTTAATTAACATGTATATTCAAAACTGGACACATTCCAACACATGCTTCTCGAAATAAACGTCATTCATATGATATACCTTCGAATGGATTACAGCGATGTCTGCTCTTTCTACGATTAAAATGAATATGATTGTATAAAAAATACTGGAAGGATTCCAACAAACACAACGGTACAAGGTAGTCCAACAATTAATAAAAATATTTGAGATGGTATGAAATTTTCAAGGTTAAATTGTGCTAATGCATGAGCGCCATCATCATTCTGGAATAGGAATTATTCCTTCAGCATAGAAAAGGCCCATTCAGGCTTGTCACCGATTTTAGACATTGCAGAATTCTTACATGTTGGTAGGATTTCAAACCCACTATTCTAAGTATTCTTCTATCTCGCTATTCTCAGCCACCCTGCTACCTCACCGATTTAGACCAGAACTGTCACATGAAGTTGCGATCGAACTCGCAACTCGCTCTTCCAATCCTATAGTCCTCCTTAACTTTTACCACTGTTCCTCCCTGCCTTGAATATATAAAAACAGAAACCTAGTAATACAATTCTGAAAGTGTTCCATTTACAATCTGCATGGAAGAGCAATGCCATTAGTTGCGACTATGAGCCTGTTTTGAGCAGTACAAGTTTTCACAACTTATAGCTTAAAACTGTCACTCGAGCATACTACACAATATAGATAGTTTATTTAGAAGAAATTTTTCTACTGGGAAGTCTCTCTTGCAGGGATACAATGAGGTAGTTACAGGACTATATGAAAAGTCTTCTTCCGACAGGTGAAAACTCGTTGTGCTCTCTAAACCTCAATGATATGATACACTTACACTATATAAGGCAGGTTTTATGTTCGCATTAAAACTAAAACAGGATGCACAGCCGATAGAAAGTTAGAATTACTTGCAGCACCACGTGTCGTGTACAGTATACCGTATACGAGTGAACACAAGTCAATTTTGGACACGGCCCCAAAGGTGCTCGTGACTTATAGTTATACTGTTACCAATGTTGGTATTATTGCAGATTAACTACATCCAAAAAAAAGGGTGTTTTTTTTTTAATTATATGTTTTTTGGGGTGTAGATTACGAATCTGAAATCCATTTTTGGCGGTCGGCATCGGAAAACCGATTTTTTTCGCGACTTACTAACATGGGGGTTACGTAACAGAGTGCAACGGGTAACATTTTCGTCTTCTTTACCCGTTGCAGTGCAACGGGTAAGTTTCATTCAAGATGTCGTGCGCTACGTGTGATCGGTATTATTGCAAAAAAATCGGTTTTCCGATGCCGACCGCCAAAAATGGATTTCAGATTCGTAATCTACACCCCAAAAAACATATAATTAAAAAAAAAACACTTTTTTTTGGATGTAGTTAATCTGCAATAATACCCCAATGTTTAGCGATAAACTTGGCAAACTGGCATGAATATTTGAATCATCAACTATACAAGAATAGTGTTTGAACTCACAATCAGTTCCATCGTTACCGAAACGGCATTAATCGTAACTTCATGATGAGGTAAATTACCTTCACTTCCCTGCAAACACAGGTATTTTTCAATTGATTTTTCCGTCAACGACTTTCTTGCGTGAGATTTTTTTTTTTTTTTTTTGAGGATCCATCGATTTTTTGCGTGAGAATCGATCCTCTGTGGATCGATTTGGGGTGTGATGACCCTGAAAAAGATTTTCAGGAGTCAGGCCTTTATAATCAACTGAGAATTAGCATAATCTTAATTTTGATTAGTTTCTTATCTCATAGTCAACAGTCAAATTTGAAGCAGAAATCACATGCGCAATCTGAAACATCTTGTCAAAAGGGTTAAATTGAAAGTTATGTCCCCGGAGAGTGTCATACGGCGGTAGAGGGTTAATTTAAAATTTTAAATGATGTGTCATTTTCTATCCGCTCACAATTTTCTTGTATGCTACGTGTGCTTCTCGGCCTACGTGTGTCTTTGATTTGGGTGACCGTGAGGTTGTTGTTGTTGTTGTGGTTCCCCGGTCTCAATTTTACGAGACTAACGAGAGACCCCCCTCGCGCAAGTACGACACCACTGACAGGAGGTCGCTCCAGAGCTGTAGGGTCGAGGTTATGTGGTGGTGTGGTCTGAGGTCCTGCCAGAGCGGACATTCCAGGAGAATGTGAGTGATTGTGTGGGGAGCTCTCTGGCAGGAGGGGCAGGTGTCTGTGTCTGCCTGGCCTATTCTGTTTGCGTATGTTTGTAGTGAGGGGTGGTGGCCGCAGCGAAGCCTGGCTAGGTGTACTCTCTCCAGTCTAGAGAGCTGTGTTTCTGTGCTGCTTATGTTAGGTGGTGGGTGTCCAAGGACTTTGTTGTTGCCGGCCAGCTCCAGCGTTCTAAGTGTCATAATTGTGTCTACCTAAATGTTTTTTTGTGCTGGACAGTAACTGTCCAGCATTTATTTAATAAATGCTGTGTGTGGAATTCCAGAGGGGTAATATATTAACGGGTAAACATAGCAAATCAGAAAGCATGACCCAAAAATCTGGAACGTCCAGCACACTTCCACTTTCAGTCCATCATAATCACTGATGAGTGTCTGCAAGATGTCACAGCTGTTTCATTGAAAAAAAACAGCGCTTGCATCATCACGGTAACAAGAATCCAATCAACGCTTGAACGCATCCAACGTAACAGTCACAAGAATCCAATCAACGCTTGAACGCGTCCAACGTAGTGAACGTACTGTCACAGGGATCCAATCATCGCTAGAACGTGTGCAACGTCACAGCCACTGGAATCCAATCAGCGATAGAAAGCTAGAAGGGACCGCCTCAAATGCACACTATGTTAACGCACTGATGTTAACTTAATGCGTAGGGTAAACGCGGTATATTCCAACATCGTAGGTAATTCCGTCACTTCTCTAGTTTTTCCTTTATATTAAGCTTTGTTTTAGTTCCATGCGTTCATTGATGGTTGAAATGGTGACGTCATACATTTGCGTGTCGAAATACTGCAAAAACACTAGGTCTTGGC